GGGTTTAATATTTTTCCTAGAACTTTTTTTTTTTTTTTTTTTTTTTTTTTTTTTTTTTTTTTTTTTTTTTTTTAAAAAAAAAAAAAAAAAAAAAAAAAAGAGATCCTCCCTATGCGGCCTCATTATTTTAAACAGATATTTCCAGCCACCGAGATGAAAAGACAGACGCCCTGCGGCGCCTGGGATGAAGGGACCGGAGAGCTGCCCCCCTCCGTTGCCGTGGGGCACCAAACCCTCGTTCCTCTACAGAGACGCGCAGTCCCTCCCCGATGCCCACATCACACCTGTTTGCTTCAGCACCCCTATACCCCTCCCCAAAAGTCTCTAACTTGGCACACCTGCAGCCACCCACCCCTCAGTCCCGGCCCTCTGGCTCCCCGAGGGGGCTACCTCACACCCCGGCCTCAGGTGCGCCGTAGGCTCCAGGGCCGCCCCCGGCCTTGCTCCGCAGGCGCGGGCGGCGTCGCTCCCTCAGCGCAGCCTGTGGCGCCGGCCGGTCGCCACCCCGACTCCGCTTCGGGGTCCCCGGGCACGCAGGGTGCCGCCCCGCAGCCCCCCAAGCGACTGCTCTCCCCTCCGAGGAGGGTCCCGCCACCGCCGCCGGGCCCTCGGCCGACGCCTCGCCACCCCGCCCCGCCAGCCCGGCCGCAGCCGCCCGTCCCGGCGCCTCAGCGGGCCGCACCACGGCGTCCCTCAGCGGGGCGGCCGCCGGGAGAACGCCCGGCCAAAGGAAGCCCAAGGGCGGGCTCGGAACGGAGCGGGGCCGAGGGCAGCGCTGGAAGCCCCCGCCCCACGTATTTCGTTTTCGCCCCGAACTCGCTCTGCCCTGGGCGCCAGCCGCCGCCGAGAGGCGGGCGGGGAGGTCCAAGTCCACCGGAGTTTACCTCGGGAAGCGGGGAGGGGCCTCAGCATCTCCAACCGCCCGCGGGGCTCCCCCTCGGCCGGCCCGGGGCGCTTCCTTCGGGCCGGCCGGGCCGGGAAGCGGCCGTTGGGGAGCCGTTGCCTCGCGCCGCCCGGCAGTTTAACGGAATCCTGGGGCAGCCGGGTGTCGCCCTCCCGGGGCAGCAGCTCCGCTCGCCCCGCAGCCCGGTCAGCGCCGTTATACCGGCGAGGACCGTCCTTGACCGGGCGGCTGGCAGAGCCCTGGCCCTCCCTGCCCTCGGCCGGAGGCGGCGGGCGGAGGTCGCCCTGCCCTCACCTCCCCTCGCCCGGCGGGTGGCTACCGGGCGGCGGGGCGCTCGTCGCCCTGGGAGGGGAGGCTGAGGCGCGGAGCCCGCTGCCCGAGCACCGGGCCGGTAACACCCAGCTCCCTCGGGGCAGCCCCACCGCCAGCCGCCGGGGGGAAGCTCGGGGGCTCGGCTGCGGGACGGGGCAGCCCCACCTCGGCAGGACGTCCCAGCCCAGGCTTCCCCAAATACCTGGACGGGGCGGAGGGACCCGCGCTCCTCAGGTAGCCGGGGACGGTTCCCCGCGGGCGCTCCCGACCGCCAGCCGACGGAGAAGCGGCTGCCGCGGCGGTGCCCGCCCGGCCGGGGCTACCGCCGTGCCCCCGGCGGTGGATTTTGTTGGGGCAGGGGCTGCCGGGCGGCGGAGAGACGCCGGACGCGGGCGCCGTCCTGGGCAGGGGGGCTGGGAGCGGGCAGGGTGGGAACCGTTGCAGATATTCGCGGAAAAGATGTTTCTTTGGCTGTTGCCGGCGGGGCACCCGAAACGAGGGAAATTCTGTTTTCCTCCTCCGCCGTCCCGGAGATGGAAGCTCCGCGCCGTCCGGTGTGGCTGCAGGTGCTGCCTTAGCGGGTCCGCCGTCCCGGGGGTCTGCCGCCAGCCGCCTCCAACTACCGCGATCTTCCTAGTCCCCTTCAAAATTAGGCTCCTTTCTTTCGAATTTCGCCTCCTGCTTTGAAAACAATATAAACCTACGCTTTTGGTTTTTATTTCAAATCGTTCAAGTGTTTTATACAGATCGTTTCAGGACTTCTTTTAATGGTCGGATACGTACTAACTCCGGTCAAAGTTACAGTCCTCATGTACCAACTTAATCTGGCAGGCTGAGAAAGATGATGTTCCTCTGAAAATAACGTTTTTAAATTAAAGTGCGTTTTCAGCCAGTTGAACGTTCTGTAACAGTGAGAAACAATCCCGAGAGTTTGCAAAAGGTTTAAAATGCCAAAACAGATTAAAGACTCTCCTTAAACAAACAAAAACCCCATGAAACAAAACAAAAAGCTCGGAGCAGGTTTTACTGAAGTGTTTTCATCTGCATGGTTCTTAAAACCTGCTGTTGCCTAAAAATCCTGAACTAAAATACAGAAAACTGCATCTGCTTTTGTGATCCATTTTCTCTTAGTGTATTTGACTTTATGAAAACAGTTCATTAACTTGTATTTCATATATCTATTTGTGCAAGATGCTTTTATTTCCTTAAGTCCAAGCACTAGCTACGATACATACAGAGCTTTTCTCTGCTAACTGCTGCAGATTGACTAAAGTTCCAGCAAGTATTTAAATTATCCGAGAGAAAGCTTAGCTAATAGAAACAAAACTTTAGTGAATTGTGTCTTGCTGCTGCAGCCTATTTGTTTAGCAATTAACAGCTTCTTATTAGAAAATCTCTTATCCTAAAATGTTTAAATTGAAAGAGATAACCAGACTGAAATGACTGACAAAAGGCAAGAGCTATTCACCTGAAAAAATAAAAGTTGCTCTCTTTGACAGATTAGTCCCAAATTGTTCTGTCAATACCAAGAGTAAATTACTGAAACTTTACATTGTCAATTTATAATTGTAGAAATCTTGTTTGGCTATGCTAATCTGCACTAAATTCCTCAATTGCTGTTCAGCCAAACTACAGTTGTTCAAATACAACTGCCTGAAACTGGATATCTGTGTATTTATACAAGGAATGTGAATTGTGCATGTATAAATATCTGTGTGTCTATTCAACAAAGCAGGCAAAATACATTTTGATTTGTAAGAAATCATCAGATATTCTAGATAAGCAGCTTTCAGGTTAAGGGTTATTTACAAACTATTCATTTGACTATTATTCATTAGCCATTGGCAATTCATACCTGATTGGTCACCTGCTTCTTGGATGGGCAAGCAAAAGCAATTACAAAAGAAAAGTTAGAAGACAGTGAAAATTAATTTTCAAGCTCTGTACATAACAGATTTGTAAAATAAACAGATTTGTGGACAAGTCAAATACGCTTGGTGGCCATCTTGGTACCTGGGCATAAATTAGTGATGAATCACATTTGCTCGTTCCTCAATGTATCTGTCAATCTGGGTTTTCATTGCTCAGTCAGCACGACAGTCTCCACTGCCACAGAGCGATG